ACCATGAGCCAGCAGTGTGCCCTGGCTGCCAAGAAGGCCAATGGGATCCTGGGATGCATTAAGAAGATCGTAGCCAGCACGTTGAGGGAAGTTCTCCTCCCCCTCTACACCGCCCTAGTGAGGCCCCACCTGGAGTTCTGCGTCCAGTTCTGGGCTCCCCAGTTCAAGAAAGATGAAGAGCTACTGGAGAGAGTCCAGTGGAGGGTTACAAATATGATTAGGGGGACTGGAGCATCTCTCCTGCGAGGAAAGGCTGAAGGAGCTGGGCTTGTTTAGCCTGAAGAAAAGAAGACTGAGAGTAAATCTTATAAAGGCTTATAAATAACTGAAGGGTGGGTGTCAGGAGGATGGGGCCAAACTCTTTTCAGTGGTGCCCAGTGACAGGACAAGGGGCAATGGGCACAAACTGAAGCATAGGAAGTTCCAGCTGAACTCGAGGAAGAACTTCTTTCCTTTGAGGGTGACAGAGACCTGGAACAGGTTGCCCAGGGAGGCTGTGGAGTCTCCTTCTCTGGAGATATTCAAGGCCCACCTGGACAAGGTCCTGTGCAGCCTGCTGTAGGAGACCCTGCTTCGGCAGGGGGGTTGGACTAGATGACCCACAGAAGTCCCTTCCAAACCCCAACATTCTGTGATTCTGATTCTGTGGTATACGGAGGGCAGAGGACACATTTGCTATCCAATTTATAGTCCACCTGGCCCACATTCTACTGCTGCTGCCTAGTGAAATCTCATTGGAAAAACACTGACAGGTAATTCAGTTGAGGTACCCAGTTCAGTTTCACTTGCCTGTACTTAAAGCATGTCTGCATTAACCCACGCCACCAACTCTGTATCTTGCTGTCTCCGTATTTTCATTAAAGTTTCACGTATTTAAGAGCTTTGCAAGCTCAAAAAAGTGTTTACTTATCGTTCAAAATGACAGTACATATTCTTTTGGTATTACCTTCTTTGTTCACAGTTCTTTGTTTTTTTAAAATTTTTCTAATACACTAATCAGACTTCTTTGCTGGCTTACTCTTAATGATTCCCAGGGCTTTTTTTGCTTTTGGTATAATCCAAGTATGTGTAAAGATTTTCCTCTCTTCCAGCAGAGTGCCTCTATAGAATGTAAGAGATGTCACTTGAACCTGTGCCTCAAGATAGCAGTAGCTGCAATTTCAACAGCCAGCACAACCTGCTGCCATCAGCAGCCTGCATGAAGTCTATTTCCCAGGCTGGAGCACAATGCAGGGTTCAGCCTGAGCAGTCCAATTTCCACCATACAGAAAGGAACTCCTGAGGCAGAAGCTGGCAGAGAGCCAGGGCACCTGGGCTCTCCCTTCACGGGGGTCAAGACACCGAAGGAGCCCTCCATGGGCCAGCAGTTTGCAAAGCCAATATTAACCACTCATATTCACAAGTATTTCTGTTTATTCTCTGTTCCACCCTTTCTAACAGGGAGCTCCTCAAAAAGCAAAAACTCAGTAGTGTTTGGTATTGATCACGCTAATCAAACAATGTATTTGCTACTTCCAGTGCTAGGGAATTACATTTTGCCTCTTTAAATTGCGTACACGGTTTGATTTTATTTGTTACATTCATTCAACAGTTATCCTGGTGTATTTTTTAATTAGACCATCAATCACTCCTATTGAAATAAAAATCGGTCAGTCTATTCTTTTAGGATCTTATCTTTTCCATAACAAACATTAATCAATTAACATACAAGTTTAAGAAGAGTAGCTGGTTTTAAAGAATTATATTCAAGACCAGAAAGCATTGTAATATTGCAAGTTAGGCTGGAACATAGTTCACTATTGTGTTCACTGTTTCATACTTGAAACTATCTTCCAGATCCTTTACTAAAATAAAAAAACAACACAAGAAAAAAAGAGTAATTTCAACATTTGACTTTCTTCCATTGCTCTATAACTTTTATTCTCAAAGATGACAGCTTGCCAAAGCCATATCGTGGATGTCCTTAAAAACGTAATTAGGGTTCAGGCTTTCAGTATTGTTTTACCTACCACCACATACTAGCTACCTGTCTTGTTTTTTGGTTAAGAATGTTTTCTGTTACTGGAGGTATTTATCCCAGACTCATTACCATGAGATTCTGATTGGACCCTTCGTGCAGAATTTTTAATCATAAAAAATAATCAAAGACATGAAGGTGAGTATCATCCACACATTTCACAAGTCTAATTTTCAAAGCAATCTTGTTTCAATTGTGAAAAAGAAATGCCATGTGGGCAAATGGTACTTATTAGTCAGTACTTTAGTTTTTCACCAAAGCAATGGAAGCAACTGCCATAAATAATTTTACATCTGAATCCAAATGGTCCTGTCATAAGCAAAATGACAAATACATCTTCTCATTTCAGCTTCTGTGTGGTTCGTTCACAGGCTTATAGAACATTTGCAATAATCTGCAGTCTGTTTTTCTGATTTTATTTCTACCTTGCTTTCATCTCAATAAAATCATAAGCCTACCCACAACTATTCAGAATAACAGTCCAGATGCTGCTATCATTTGCACTAGCATAAACACAACACCAGTGTGAAACCCACAGATGATTAGTATCAATACTACTATTGTAATTGCACTTCTGCAGGGCTCTGAAGCTCCTAGATTTCTGTTACTATAAGGTTTTCATAACGAAATGCCAAAAAGTGCTGAACAATGTGAGTGTATCAAAAGATCTGATTACTGCATCTTCAAGTATTCACTTCTTTTTTCTAAACAGTGCCTGGGAAGAAGGAAAATTTTATAACAGGGTTCTGTCCCCATTCTGCACATCCCCATGGCAATATATACTGCTTGTCCTCCTTTTTCCTAATGAACTTATGACTATGTTTTATTCTCTCTGGCATCAAAATCCAGCTCAGAAAGAGGAGCAAAGGCAAATACCCCAGAAGATGGCAGATTTGAGCTTAGCCAGCAGCTTTTAAAAAAGCCTTCCGAGTCATTCCTCTGCTTTCAGCCTGTACCTTCCAACTAAATTGCCAACACTGTATTTAAGGAGATATGCATTTGCCACCTGCAGCAAAATGTACTGGAAGTCTTTCTCAATAAAGGTCAAAGACCTGAAACGTGCCAGATGTTTTGGTTTTTTTTTTTCACAAAGGGCATTTGGAAAAAATTCTTCTGCATTACAAAAATACATTGATCTATTTTACTCTTTGGACATAAAATACACTCTTATAAATAAAAATTTTACCAAAACACCTGTTCAAAAGGGGCAACTATTTGATACCATTTGTTTTCAACCATAAACTGAATACTCCTGTTTTTAATAGAAGGTAGATACTGGAGCTGCATTATTTATGATCATTTCAGAAACAATTATGTGTCTTCTTTTTATATGCAGTATATATGATGCTCATTCTGCCCTTCTCATTCACAGGGACATTTTCACAGGAGTTGATGCAAATAAAAGTAGCAGAAAAGTAGCAGAGTCTGAAGCTTTTTTACTTCAAATTTACTATAGATATGCATACATTTCCCAGATATTATAATACATCACTTTACTCCCTCCCTGATTTGGACCAAATGGTACAATACAGAAAAATTAAAACCAGACATAAAGTACAGTTAATATACACTGAATATGCATGGATCAACAATTGCTACATTGTATCAATGGTAACAAAAACACTTACAGTGAAAATTGCACTACATAAATCCACTTACAGCAATGGAATGCTATGGATAGTACGCTATTAAATGTACAAGAAATAACGTAGAAAACTATGCTCAAGCAAAATGCTTTAGGAGACTAGCCACCATCACGTTCCTTTGTTTGTGAGTAACTTAATTTTTAGAAACAAAAGTCAGGACTGCAGATTCATTATTAGTAGTGGTCCAACTACACATGTCCAAAGATAATAAAAATTATGATACCTTAATATTTAATGAAAGACTCTGTTGAGATTTTGAAGCTGCAGATTATGTCAGGGTGGAATTTGTTGCTCTGTATTTCATTACACAGCTGCTAAAGAAGAAGAAAACACTTCATTCCATTGCCAGGAATGAAAGACCACAGCAATGGTGCAAGTAAGTTTCTATACTCTACAAGTCAGCAAATAAATATTTCTTTATCACTATCACAAGTTTTGGGATTACTTGCAGCAAACTTTATCTCATATTCAATGAATTAATTCAGAAACACTCACCATGATTCCAGTGAGTAGACAGACTCCTTTCCCACAGTATGTATTAGGTACCATGTCACCATATCCAATGGATAGAAAAGTTATTGAAATCAACCACATTGCTCCAAGGAAGTTGCTAGTAACATCCTGTTGATCATGGTACCTGAAAAGAAAAAGAAAATACTTTCTTTGTCATGAAAACTTATGCTAAAATTTTGTACTGTCAGAAAGAGATTGAATTAACTGGTCACATAATCATTCTTGTATTCTACAGTTATTTCCATTCTGAAAGCAGCCATAATGAATTAAATAAAACTCAAATACAACGACATCAGTAGTAAAGGAAGAGAAGGTACAACAATAGCACCAGTAGTAGAGATACTCAGAATTGTTTATAATTCAGAATTCTGTTATTACTATTAAAAAAGCAGATACCTCTTGCTTTTTAATAGAATCTCTTCATCAGGGGCACAAGTATAGCTAATAATCTGCAGCAGCATAAAACACCAGCCCACTACAGTTGCTGCAATCTGAGGCAGGTAAGAAAGTCAGAAAAGGATGTGTGGGCAAGTCGAGAGCAGAGGACATTTCCATCTCCTTGGCCTAAAGCTAAATCTACAATTGCAAATATAATCATGAACTATCATGCAAATGCTGACCTATACAACGGAAGATCTTCTCTCTCCTTCAACATGTTCAAGATAAATTGAAACATATGCCATTGTATTTCTCGTCAGCAAAAGATCTTTACCTTACATATAGTGAAACCTCCCTTTTGCGTTAAGTCTGCAACTAAGTGGAATTTCCCAATGTGCCATTTGTTGCCTTAGTTTTAATATTCTAGTGGAATATATTCATTTTCTCCGTCAAAGAAAACAAGTTCAGATGAATGACCTAGTCTTGACATAACACATATACCTAATAACCAGGGAGCCGTAAGGACATATTAGGTCTAAAACCTGTTTTCACCACTCACTCTGTGGGGGAAAATGCCTGACAGCCTAACGTAGGTGGAATTTTGCTCCCCAGACAGAGTAGCTCTACCACAGACACTATCTGTGGCAGCCACTGCAGCCTCAGGGTTGCAATAACACCTGCAGCTGCTGTGAAGCCTCAGTGCCCCAGCCACTGCAGCCTCAGGTTTGCAATAACACCTGCAGCTGCTGTGAAGCCTCAGGTTGGCTATCTATGCTGTTGGATCCTCAAGGGTATTATTTTAGCCAGTCTCTAACTCTGTGTCTCACAGTGGATCACAGAGGTCACAGCGGGCCATTAGGGAATTAGTTCACAAACCCGTAAGCAACCTGCTTTCCAAGGCTGAAACAGTTGCTTCGGTTTTCTTCCTTTCTGGACCGCAGTCTCCATGATGGAGTAGGAATGCAGAGTGAGTACAAAGACACTTTCAGGAAATTCCCTGTTCTCTCACTTGCCAGTTATTCACTATAAGTAACTACAAAATGCCAAAGTCCCACCTATGCCCTGATGGTTACAACAACCTCAAAAATCTTTGTCTGACAGAGATAACAGCAATCACTCCAAACAACTCTGTTCCACATTTCACCTGTACTCTTCTCTCTCCTGGTGTCAGTGTTGTCTTTTCTCACTTCCTTTATACAAGCTTTTGAAGGCTTTTTGTTCTGCACCTAGAACAATGGAGTGACAGCCCACATTTGGAGCTCCTAAGGATGACAGTGACACAACTGCAACAAGAGTAGTGACAAAAACGACAGAAAACTGGAATAACTCATGACCACAGAGCTCTGCACAAACAAAATAAGATCTGACAGTACTTTTTTTCCAGTCTTCATTACATGTTACGGATTTTAGTCTCCACTTAAGGAACTTAGCAAGTAACACCTGTGAAATATATGGGTGCAGGGAGACAGACATATTCATCCCATCCAGGAGGCAAGAAGAAAGCCTATGCATCATGCAACTCCCTACAGAGTATCACGTAAGTGATGAGCTTCACAGAAGGGTGCTAAACCCACAACACATATTCCAAAGCTAGAAACTCAGTTAAATACCAATAAATGCTTACATAAATATTTATAATATGTTTCTTTAATGTCTCTATATGGGTTTGGAAGGTGGCCATTTCCATACTTCAGACAGAAAAGAGTTTTCCTATGAAGATGAGACTGCAATTGATTTTTTTCTACATTTTGTCCAAATAGTTATGTCCTTACAAAACTTCCATCCCACTTTAACATGCCAGAAAACACAGGAGCCAATCTACACATATCATTTAACAAAGGTGACATAAGGTTAAATTTTAAAAAGCACAACAGTAGTTTTTCAAATTTCATTGGAGACATGCATATTAATTAGTAAGGTCCCCTAGATGAAATATTCATTAAAGCCATCTGCACCCATACTTAGTAGCACACCTGAAGGACCTGCTCAAATGTTTTTATCTTTTTAGTTTGGCACTCTTAGATTTCCTACGCTGAATATTTCACCTAGTTGTGATTTTAAGGTTACAGTTCACCAATCAAATGGTGCACACTTCATTTAAAAATCATCATCAATATTTATGACTTTACTGTGACTAAGAAACAAAGTACCCTCTCTACGGTCTCAACTGCTCAAGCGTGGCAAAGCATGCAAATCAGAACCTGTTTTCATCTTTCAACAACCCCCAAAAATTTCCTGTACAGGGAAAGTTGAAGAAGTGACTTCTCCAGCTATAAATCTATAAGTAAAACAGAGACCATCAAAAAAGGGAGGATTCTCTGTCCTGACAATCCCATCATTTCTATGACAGATTTGTAGAAAGACAAATTGGTTTTGTCTTGTTTTTTTGCAACCTCACTAATGAGTTTTGAATCTCTGTGGTTAGTTATTCCGGTACATGCCTACACCCTTCTGATTTTCATAAAATCACCGTTCTGTCAGTGTAAACTTCCAAGTGCTCTGCTATGTCATTATGCACCACCATTGCTTGGGATTCAAGCCTAAATGAGCAAAGCTGGGGGAGTGTTCCCTTTGAACTGAGTGGCAGCAGCAACAGAACCTACAAGCTTAGATTTTGGCTACCCTGCATTCACCATCAGGTAGCAAATTATTATGTCTACATCAACACAGGAAAAGCAATTCCTTTAAAAAGTAGGAACTGCAACTTCTCATTTGTACAGCCATGGGAATGGCTGAAAATAAGAACTGCAGGCATTTAAATTGCTTTGTTTTGAGGAGGGGGAAAGAAATCTACACACTGCCTTTTTGACTTGCTTTCAAAAAATTCAAAATTAACTACTGAACACAGCAGTAGTTAAACTTTCCCATGTTTTGCCATCAGTGCAGCTCTCATGTGTTGCACTCCAGTCACCAGAAAGCCAGGGAAAAGTCATTCCCATCACTGCATTTTTCACTCCCCTATTGAGACTATCCCCAGCAGAGGCAATTGTAATGGACATTGTAGTGAGGAGAAAAGTCGTCCACATGAGCAGCTGGAGCGGAGCTGTCTCGCTCACTGTCAGTTGTTGTCAGCCACTACAAGCATCTCCTCACTCCAGCTGGACTGCGAAAGACAGCTTGGATATAACAGACTCCAGAATTCAACTGCAATGTTCTTAAACTATCCATTCACTCCATATCTGAAGCTCTGAAATCTGACTGGAAAATACTGTACCACAAACAGCTCAGAAGCCCAAAAGCTCAGGAAGTAAAGAAAAAGAAACAAATACGTCCTTTCAGTGACAAGTCCCACACAAAGTAAAATCCAATCATTACCAACCAAATTCCAAAACATAAGCTTTTTGTCATTAATCTTCAGTTTGCAATTTTTATTTTTTATACATATTTTGATTTTTTAAATTCAAATAAGTACAAAAATATTTACTCAAATATTTAAAGCCGACTATTCTTAGTCAATAAAAACTTGCACTAGAAATACAGTGAGCCACTTGAAGATAAGAGCTAGTATTTAATTGTGTTAAAGCTGCAGCTATAAACAGGTTGATTTTCTGGATCATCTCCAGCCTCACACAGCAGTGAAATAAAGGGTCATTTAGAAAAGCTGTGTATTCCCCCGAGGTAGGGAAATCCTTGGTTGAAATCACACAGGCATAAGTATTATTTACCACTTTTTCTCCCCCTCTCTAACAAGGAATGTGCTAGCAGGCAAGCAGTGCTGCAGCTGGTACATGCTACTCAGCAGGCAGTCCTCATCCTGTGAAACACCACTATCCATTTCTCACCAACCAGCATATATAAGTCCCGAGACTACTCTAATTTAAACCAAAAATAGCTGAATGATTACATATGTGCAAAAATAGCATGGCTCGATTCCTTCCCAAGCCAAACTGAGTGGGAGTTTTACCATTCATCTCAGGAAGACATAAATATATTCCTTAGCTGACAATACTGCAGTGGCTTGGGTTGTCAAAGCAATATTCCAGACTCTTTATCAAACAGCAGTCCTTTTCTTCTGGTCTGACTATCAGTATCGTGATTTTCAGTACTGTTTCCCTTCAGAACTATGTTCATATTTGATGATGTTGCATTTAACGGGTAAAACATCCGCTTTTTAGCTGCACACAGTAATCACACACTGACATCTTGACATCTAAGACATGTTTATCTTAAAAAGTGATGAATAAGAAGAAATCAAAGATCACATTAAGCTTGACCACTGGCACATTAATTCACACTTAGCAGCTTCATTTCAGTTCATCTTGCCTCCAAGGACAGCCTCTGATAAATCTGCCATCTTTGGTTTTGCTTTCTTGAACAAGTCAAGGAAAGAACCAAAAAAGGGTTGAAAAGATGACCCTTTTTGTAGGGAAGAAAATGGCCTGCTTTTAGCATAATCAAAAATAAATTCCTGGCCTGCACTACAACCCAGGCTGTCTAAAAACTTTTAGACTAATAACAGCTGGAAACACGCTCAGCCTATTAAATCAGAAACTTGTCAAGACTTTCCTGAGACACTGATTGATCTAGCCAGCTATTAGAGCTCTCCCTCAGTATCAGGCCATTCTGTTACCAAGTGCCTTTTTAGTCTTAGTTAGATGGTAGGTACTGGCAGGTTTTTATCTGTTAATACAGTGATGATAATAGACAGGTCTTCTTATTCCTTCTCACCTCCTCCCGTTTAAAAGAAAGAAAAAAAAAAAGAAAACCACAATGGCACTAGGAGGGAACAGTGGGGCTGACTCCCAG